ATTAATTCAACAAACACTTCTTGTTTTAGAATAAAAGCTATCATTTAAAGATTCTTTTTAATCCAATCTGAATAAGACCAAATACAGAACAGCCACAAAGATGAAATATTTGTTGCACTTCAATGCTTCTTACCTAATTGCAATGGTTTAGCGATCTAGCTCTTGGGGGCTTGTGAAGATTATATAATGTATGTTAAGGTCTTTGCACAGAGTCTGGAACATAATACTCAATAAATGGCAGTTATTATCAACAATGAAAACGGCAACTTTATAAAATTTGTATTATTTTCTTGTAATTCTGCAAGCAATTGCCTACTTTGATTATCTATAGCTCTGCTTTTTCATTGCCTGAATAAATACAAACACTGCTTCCAAGGAAGTAAAAAAAAAGAGTATTCAAATATAAAACAACTTTATTAATCAAGCTTGTGGGAATAGATACATTTGGTACATAGAACAAACAGACTAGCAACTTGGAGGAAAAAAAAAAAAAAAAAAACAGGAACATGCAACATTTGCTCCAGCCAAGGACAGCTAAGAAAAAAACCTGCATAAAAGCTGACAGAAGTAAAACTTTCTCTTGGAGTAATGAATGACAAATATTTGCTTGGGAACATGAAGTACAAAGTTTACATCAGGGGTTATCCTTTTGTCTTTCCTGCTTAACTCTTCAGAAAAAATAGCACAACAGCATTAGGAGTTTGTGGGCTGCACAACCTCCATTATAATAACATCAACATTTTTTAACCTGATTAAAAAAAAAATCCCTTTACAAGCAAGAGAGATTTTGGCAGCAAATTTAAGCACATAATGTTGAAATCCTCAAAAAGCAAAGAGCATGCCTTGACAATGATTTGGGTTCAGCACTCATTCTCCTTTCTCCAAATAATCCCTGCAATCTGAAAGTCCCCAGTAGCCAAACCATACCTGACTGGTTTTGAGCACATTCAGAGCACATGCTTGGCTCTAGTGCTTCCCATATATGGGGTAAATTCGAAAGACATCTGTGAACTCAGATAGCAGGTTCCCAGATGCTTGGAGAGGGTTGGGACCCTTACAATACTTTTGCCTTCAGCAAAAATGTATTTCAATATAATTATAGTAGATAGATTTCAATGTCATCTCTACTATAGCAGCTGTAAATTATGAAGTGAGTTGTGTGTGTACAAGCATTTCTACTGGTACAAGCAAAGTGGGAGAGCTGTGTAGGGCATGAAAAATCTTTCTCTTTTTAACTGACAACAAATGTCTAAGTCAAACCCCATTTGCAAAAACCACTGTGCCCATCTCCTTTTTGTAGAAAGGTAGAGGAATCAAGACAGACAAGCTCAACTGAAGGCCTTCAATTCTTAAAAATAAGGCTTCTTAGAACCCTTGGCTCAAGTTTATTACAAATTCACCTATTCTAGTACAGTAGAATCACAGGAGCATACTTAGAAAGTAAGGTAAAGGCAATTTTCAACAGACTTGTAGCTAACCAATAAGAAGACAGAGAAGCAACCAGCTTTCTCTCTCAGCTAGAAAAAGACCACGCCCCCAAAATGAAGTATTACAAGACAGTTTGCTGCAAGCTTTGGAAAACTATCATATTCCAGCTAAGGAACAGGATCAACAAGAGAAAAGTAAAATAGTTTTGTTTCCTTTTGGTTGGTAGTGATATTCAAGAATTTTACTCTAATATGTATATACTATGTCTAATATTTCAAAAATGTTTATGAGTAAATTTAGATGACTATCATCATGAATTATTAAGTCTGAGCCTCTGTAAAAGAGGCATATGATCAAAGGGCATTTTCTGGGGAAAAAATATAGGTTCAAAGACAGTATCATTCCCAAAATACACACATAAAACCAAACCTTGCAGCTTGGGTTTAATTTTGCTAAAACTATAGTTCTAGTCTGCTTAGCTTTGTAAATGCAGCTGCGTTTATAAGGTACTTTAATTTACTGCAGTAGTGGTGTTTGTTAATTTTATGGCAATCTAAATCTAAATAGGCTTTCAGATACATTTTCATTGAAAAACACACTAGAGTAAATAGCTCTAAGATTCTAAAGTCATTTATTCCATTATAAAAAAAGAATCAACACAATTTTCTGATGAAGTTTCTGCCTTAACATATATGTTCTTCCTATTTACCAATAAGCTTTCTGTCACTCAGAGTACCCATGTTCACTTTTAGAGAAAAAATATATTTCTGCAAAGTGATTAAAATAGTTGTTTTCCCATCTCTGCTTTGCTCTCATTTCAAATGCAATTCGACATGAGCAAATCGGATACAACCAGAATGTACCTAAATTATTTTCCAATTCTACATGGATGGCAGCATAATTCAATGGAAAAGTAAGGCATATTGTCAGAAACTGATTTCAAGGTCTGATTTTGGCACTAACTAGATGTGTGACATTGGATAAATTACTTAACTTTTCTGAGTCTCAGCATCTCATCTGTAAAATGAAAATTATAATGCCATCTATTTTACAAATGCCACACCCCTTCACCTCACTTAGCTCTGCTGAACGTTTCTTAAAACTCCAAAATATACCCCGAAAGGTCTATCCCACATAAACCCTTATACACTAAGGAACTGAAAAAGAAAAGTTGACTGTCTTATGTCAAAACTCACTGGTCCTAGTAACTTAGGAGAACCACAGACAGAAGAACTATAAAAGCCAGCCCCCAAAACAAGAGGATTAAATGCTGCTACATCATTCCAAAATAATTCAGAACCTATAGAAGAAAATTTGTAAACTAAAATCCTGTTGAATCTGCCAATTAGTCAACATATTACATCTAATTATTTGTCCATATTATTGCATATATTTCATATACCTATTTTTCCTACTGAAACTGTTAAAAATGAAAAAAGGAAATATAGATTTAAATGGTATTATTAAGCTATTGAATATATCCAGAAATGAGATTCATGACTAAATTTCAAAACTCATTATTTCCCAGTTTGATATTTAATCCAGAACTTGTATGTACCCATGTATTTTTAAAACAAAACAAAACAAACAAAAAACCCAACTGGTGATTCTGGGACTAAGGTTACTAAAAATCTCATAGGGTTTTCTTATAGAATTTCTAATACAATGAGGCTCAAGACCTTGACACTGGCTGATGCCGGGTTCATCCAACTTCCAACAGGGCTAAGAAGAAGGTAAGGAGGTAGGTGTGAAGACACAAGGCAGGAGATAGTAAGGAACCACCCTAATTCCTCTAAAAACACAGGCCGTTTGGCCCTAATGTTATAGATCCTTCCATGCAAGATGACTAGAGGTACTTACCTAGCAAGAACTTACACATGTATTTAACAAAAAGTTGTACAGTTAGGATTATACTACAAGTTAGAACCATTTTCTACTGTTTATGCTTAGGGCAACCATTTCAACTACGACTTATTTTGTTGACTTTCAATTATTCATATATCAGATCAGAAAGCCGAATTCCTTTCATGTATATATGCAAGATAATTTTTCTAGAACTCTAATTTGCACATTCTCCACCAAAAATTATTCCTATAAATAAGACTGGAGATTCAGTTTTAGATCTCAGAAAGTCCAATTCAGAAAATAAATAGAAAACATAATATTAATTTATATTGCATTTTAACACAAAGTTACATGAATGTATCCTTCCTCAAAACACACTCACCTCTGGGACAGAATTCAGCATTTGCTTAATATCATCATATACAGAATATCAGAAAAGACAATGAAAAAATACATACAAAACTAAAACTGTACACAGAACTTAGAAAAATAATCAGTATTAAAGCTGACAAGGATACTCACTTCTCTCTAAAACGTATGGACTTTAAGAAGTACTTGCTTACATACTTAAGTATTTATTGGTGAAATGATATGATGTCTAAAATAAAATTGGCAAAATACTGATAACTGCTTAATCTGGATGGTGGGTATCTAGTGGATTCCTTATTTTAGGTTGAACCCTATGAAATTACCAGTACTTGACAGTTTTTGATGTAAAAACTTGGCAATTCCATAGGGTTTAACCTAATACTATTCTCTTTATCTTTGTATGTATGTTTAAAATTTTCCACAATAATTTTTATTACCTTCCAAATGAGAATTCTTATCAAATGAAAATTCCTTACACTAAGCAGGTTTTTTTGCCTTAAACTAACAACTAAAATGTGCTTAAAATGAATTAACAACATTTTACCTTATTCCACTGAATCTAAGATTCACTTATTTTCCCCACATTTTAACATCTCTATAAAGTTTGAAAACATGTTACAATCAATGGCATGTTATAGTTAAATTGACAGTGTTAATTTTTTCTTAGTGACACATAAAATAATGATGCAGCTTAAATCAAAGATATCTTAGATTCAGTGAAGTATGGTGAATATAATTGCTGAGAACAGCATTTATAATCCACATTCTCTTTCTGATCAGAAATGTAGCACACAATGCCTAGTATTCTGTCCCATGGTACCCATAATTATCCTGGGAGGCCTCTTCCTCAGAGAGACAGGCCAGAACCTACTTATTTTGTGAACTTAGCTCCCTCCCCTATAGTCTGGCACAATCCATAAAAATTAATTCCTAGGAGGATTCTGGAGCTCACAGCATAGGAGGTAAAGCTCACTATGCAAAATTTCTCTTTAAAATTGTTATAACTTATGAACAAGGCCAGTGCATAAATATTAGTTATATACAGCTTTGAAGAGCACCACGCAGTCAGGTTAGAGGGGAAGAATGGTTGCAGGTGTGGTAGTAAGGGCATGTGAATGTGAGGAATGAATAAAACCAGAACAAGTAGATGGGATAAACTAGGTTTAGCTTCACCTTCGAAATCTCAAAGGGTCTTCATTTCACGAATCAAATAATTCATTTTAATTTTTGCATTGACCTTATTTATTTTGTTCTTTGTGTTAACATTTAACCCTCACAGCCCTCAGAATTGGTTAGTGCAGTCTAACAGAAGAGCAAGAGAGGGTTTGTGCAGGACTATGAGAGTGGCGGCTGCTGACCTGTTCATATTTCTCCAGTTCTGTATGATAGATTTGTCTGATCTGGGTCAATTTGGCTCTGTAATCTGAGTGTTCAATAGAGTTATCTGAAGAACCTCCAGAGGCTGCCGCGGCTGCAGCTGCTGCCGCCGATCCCCCACCTTTCTCAGGACCTGAAACCCCTTCTGCCAAAAGCATATTGTCCAGTCTCATTAGCTGGGGATCGGGAGGGTCCTCCTCCTGGGCTCCTCTGATGCTGAGACCTTCAAGGAAAGAGAGAGAGACAGAGAGAAGCGAGAAACAGAGGACAAATAGTGTGAGTATTTTGTTTATTTGAGAAAATGATCAAACAAATCAGTATACTACAATTCATGCTGAGTACTTCAGTGTTCACATTTGACCAATAAAGCTTGACTAGGTGTGAAAATTCTTTTCAAGATAATATTTATCTTCATTATAGAATTTCTACCTAGAATATCTCTCCCCTTTAACTTATGGCAGATTAGATCCTTTAGAAAAGGTAACCCAGGCTTCTTGGAATGTTTTAAATATCCAAGCTTCCCAGATACAAATGATTTAAACATAAAATGGGAAGGAGTTAAAAAACTGGAGGTTTTGAGAAAGGAAAACAATTTCAAGGGTATAAAACAAACCCATCAAAAGGTGGTTATTCTGTTTCTCTATACAGTGGGAGGAACAGAATTAAAATTCCCATAGAATAATTAATTCACAATATCCCAAAACTGGAAAATAAACAGGATTAGATAAGCTTTTCTATCATGTAATTTCAAGGGGAGAAGAAAAATACATACATTATGAAATAATCAGCTATAGTTAAAAATATATATTATTAAATGAACATTGTTAAGCAATTTCCAGCAAACTATAAAACCAGGACACTAAATACAGTATTAAAAATGTGCCACTGACACAGCAATACATTGCTGGGCACAGTAGTCTCAATCTAATTTTGCTTTTAAATCATGAACTTCCTAAGTGATGCCCAGTCAGCAACCTCATCTGCGTACTATAGATCACAGCTGACAATTCATAGGTTTAATCAGGTCACATAGGCTTTCTGCCAAGATGTTTTCAACAACACAGAATACAAAGTTTTAAAATAATTATCATGGTATAAAAAGCACTGGAGTCATGACAGCTCAAAATCAGCATTTTCATTAATGTGTAACATAATCTAAAATATCCCAGCCCAATTAACCTCTGTAAATCTGTTTAAAAGCAGGTTCCCCAAACTAGTTACAAGGCGTCTTGGGGGAGGGATGAAACAGAAGTTGGCATCTTGCATGTTTGCATTTGGATTCTGCCTTTTGCGTCTGTGCCTGTTGTTGTTTATCCACAGTGGTGCACACTCTGTATCTAGTGCAACTTACATGACAGTAACATCTATAAGCTGCCAAGTACTCAATTGAGCACCAGCTCTGTGACTTTATATGCTTACCATCATTCTTTTAAGAACAGATTTCATTCCTAGATGTCCTGAATTACACCCACAGCATGACAGTGCCCTTGGTTGTCTCGATTCAAATGTACAACTTCAATTTCCTCCCCCCAAACACTTTAAAGCTGTCACTTTCATTTAAAAATATACTTCAGAATAATTTCAACTGGATAATAAAACTAACTCGCTATAATTTTAAAATATATCTGTCGGCTACCCAGAGGTAAATAAATAAGGTTTGAAAACTATAATATGATAAATTCATTTAGCGAACCAAAGAGGTAACTCTCTTAAATAAGAGTTAGCATCAATACATTGCTGGTAATTAAAGATAGACAAACATGTATTTGCTTCTAGGTGCAGTGGTTAAGAGCTCGCTGCTAACCAAAAAGTTGGCAGTTTGAATCCACCAGCCATTCCTTGGAAACCCTATGGGGCAGTAGTACTCTGTCCTACAGGGTCGCTATGAGTCGGAGTCGACTCAACGGCAATGGGTTTGGTTTGTTTTTTTTTTCTAAAACTAGAAGAAACTGCCTAACATTATTTTAGAACTGTCAAGTACTGGTTAAGCTGGTATTTTTAGTTTAACATCTTTGATTTTCCTCCTTTCTATCTCATTTTGTTAGATGTTAAAATCTCATGGCCTGCTCATGCTTGTAGTTCAACAAACCAATACTTCTGTGCATTTGGCATGTAGCGAAGGCCTACTAGGCAACCTTTTATCTGGCACTTTGGACTCTATTTCATTTTATAATATTTGTTTGGGAGTTCCTTAAGTTCCTCCTTTTTAAACTAAATCTTTACTCACATTTTTCTGTGTTTGTTGTTTCTTTTTTGTATTCACACAGGTACCGGTGCTTCTCCTGGAAATGTATTCTTTATCTACCTTCAAGTGCCCTTCCAAGTTTCTGTTTCCTCCTTGTACTTATATACATTTATTTTTCCCCTATGGACATTTGGTAAGGTTCTTTAATAGCAAATCAACATCCACAGTCAAAATTATTATACTCCCCTGCATAAATGTGGCAAACAAGGTAAGATGTTCAATGACTAATACACAAGGAAGCAGACTATAAGAGAGCAAAAAGTAGATTCATCAAGAAAAAAATGCAAAAGGCACAAATAAATTAGCCATCTATGGTACTTTATACATAACTAGTATGTGTATAAATCATCACCACCATATCAATAGGAAACAACTCTTATGTTCAATAGCAGCAAACGCAAAAATAATTATAAGTATGTATTTTCAACTAGTATAACATTTTCCTCTTGTGATGAATAGTATCTCTTACTTCTGAAATCATAAGTAAATTAACACTTATATGTTTGTCTCAAGTACAGAAAAAATGTTTTAATGAATCCTATGAACTTACTTTATGAATTATGTGTATCAAACCTAACCAGAAAAATCATTTCCTGATAAAAAGTTCATATTCTTTTGGATGAAAATTACTAGAGTACTTTGTAATTAGGCAACATCGAGAAGGCTATTCATCAATACTGAAGTCATTTTCATATAGTTTTAAAAGTGAATCAAATTTTTTCTCTATTAAGCAAAGTCATGATTATACATCTCTAAATAATACCTAGTTTCCAAAATTATTTAAATATTTGTGCTTATTTTCTTACTTTACATTCAAGTTACTATTTTATTCCTCATCATGCTTACTTATCTACCCACTATTACTTAGCTTACTAACCTTCCAAAGTCACACATGGCTTCCAATCATAACACCTACTCCTCTGGACATCTATAAACATTTTAATGAAACTAAACTTGCAAGGGCCAGAATGAATTGGACTGTGTGCTTATCAAAAGATTTTAATATTTTCATTTGGAAAAACAGTAATTTAAAAATTGGTCATTCTTGTTTTTAATCCAAAATGTATACTAAAGCATACACAGGGGTTTATAAAGTTTTACATGTAGACTATTTGGTCATTATAGGATTATAAAGTTAAAAAAAAAAAAAAAGCCTATATTTGCAATCTACTTATAACCACAACATTCATTTCAGTATCCTTAAGATTTAGACAAATCATACAAACACAGTAAAACATTGTTTAACAATGAACTTGGCTTTGTTATAAGCCCACAGTTTCTGCATATCTTTCAGCAAATCCTAATTAGCTGTCTTTCAACGTGCTGTGCACCTGCCCCACAGATAATGGGAGAGAGCATCTGCATAGATGACTGTATTCGAAGGGCAATAAATAAATTACGGGTCAAAATTATTACAAAGCTTTCTCCAAATAAATGCATACCCTTCACAATACTAAGCTGCAGATGTGAAAAGTACCTAAAGCCCACTCAAATGGTATGATTACGGGGCTGTTTGAGTTTAATAATCTGACTGTAATTCAGACATTTTTCAATAGCTCTTTAAGGGTTCATTAATATATAGGCAAGCTTTTGAATTATAAATAAGCAGATTAGAAATCTGCAGTAGCTAGACTGCACAGTAGTAGCCTCTCTAACAAACAACACTGCCAGCACAATAAAGGTTTGACCTGAGAGAATGAGGTGCAAACATAGGGCACTAACTAAGCTTCATAGCTCCTTCATTTCAAGGACCAAGCTCACTGGACCATGACTAACCTCCATTCATCCAGGACTGAAGAGTGGCTTCACATTGTGGCTATTTCAAATGTGTTCTACACATGGTTGTGAATTATAAATAACTAAGATCTAACCCTACAATATTTCCATATCAGGGAAGACACAATATCCACAGTAATGATAAATAAAAGTTATCATCAGATTATTTTCACTTTGTAAAGAGTGTATTATTCAGACCTGCTGAGAAACAAAAAACTATCATGGAAACTTCACTTGTTCGATTTTTTTTTTTCTCTTATGAGCATACCATAAAGCTAGACCCCAATTATTCCTATGCTTAGGCATATGAAACCTCTCTGATTGTGTGCTTTGTTAGGCTTGTTTTTGATTCATTCATCTATCACACCACAATCTTATTATTATTAGCTCAGAGAAAAATGGTTTAGCAGAGTATGGTAAAACGAGACCAAATCAGATGTTTTCAGCAGGCCCTGAATTCTTGGCCGCTTTGAAACCAGGTACAACTCTAATATTTTCAGTTATCCTTATAATTTTCCATAGATTTTTACTTTGTGTCTATTATTTAAAAACAGGACTGTGGACTGAAGTTACAAAGCTGATTAAGAGAAAATGCCAACTTCATTTTCTGTACTTTCTTCATTTTAAAATCCTGTCAGCCACAGTTTGAGAAATGTAACCCAAATTATAAATAAGCTGCTACCTTTCTCCCAAAACATAAAAAAGGTAAAATAATTCCCCACCTGAAATACTTAAGTTTAAGTATGAAGCAGAAAACCTAAAAATGAAATGAAGGTCACCAGCCCCAGGGTTACAAGATCTCCTTTGAAACAATTACCTCTTGGTTGTGAAAATGGAATATAATTTGGAAACAAAGTGGAGAAAGACACTAAGAAACCCCTCAGTGTACCATTATCTAAACTAGACTCAAGTATTAGGGGGAGGGAGCAAGGGGTTGAGATTCTCAGACAAACAGTAGGTAGACTAGACATAGAGCTAAGGAGCCAAGCCCAAGTCAGGGAAAGGGGTGTGGGGGGAAGACTCTTGCGTGTGTTATGACTCAGAGGGAGAAAAAAAAGAGCCAACTGAATGGCATCAGCACCTCCTAAAGAAAGATCTGGAATATATTTGACCTGGATTTCATGCTGTCCTTCTTAGGTCTAAAGATGAGGCTTGTAATGAAAGGGAAGAATCGTATTATTGTGTAGATATCAGTAGAAAGC